CTACCCTGTCACTAGTTTGTACCATAATCCACAATGTTGAATTGTAATGTTACTTTTATTAACAACTACACTGGAGACAGCATTATCTAGTTAAAAATAAAATTTAAAAAAACATGAGAAAATAATAAGGAAGAAACTAATGCTAAATCCACAGACTACCTACACAAAAAAGGGAACTTTTTCACCTAAATTCGTTAGAATAGTAAACGCCTATAGACATGCGCATTTGCAAATGTGTTGTCTACTTTAATCGATATTATTAGGTAATTTTTTAATGAACTAGAATGCTTTAACTATTTACTAAATCTAAAAATGGACCCGCGTATATTCAACATTACAAAAGATTTCTACCCAACTGTTATATTTATATCACTTTAAATAATAAACGATTCATCATCTGCTATGATTTATGATCAAAGTAAATCATTAGTCGGAGCAGGTAATGGAGGCGAACAAGCCGCAAATAGTTTGCGACTGTATCCGCAACAAGTTAACTTACCGTCACTATTGCTTGTTCGTGCAAATCTAATTCTAGATTAACAAAACGACAGGAACAGGAAGGATTTGCTAGTAAACGCAGATTTTCACTACAGAAACATTATTTTTTAATCGTAAGACTATTTTGTTAAAATCTTGTTTTAACTTTGACCGCCACTGATTATTATTATGGACATCAAGGTTATGTTACACCAAAAATATGCATCACAACACTGCTTACGTAAATAGCTTATCAGTGTGAAATATCTGCAATTGGTTCTTAAACTAGTCATGGTATAAAAGCGTTGACGTCAGTATCATTTAAAATGTATACTTTTCAATGTAAAATCTTTTTCACTATCTCTAAAAAATCTGAAAGAATAATGTCTATAAATAGAAGCCAAAAGTTATACGTAGATAACTGTATATTTTAGTATTGCTAACTTATCGAAAACATTAACAATTGTAAAAATGACAGTGAAAAAAAACTGTGATTTTATAAAAAAAAATAGGTCTAGTAAGTTAAATTATTACTTATTTTAAAACTCTTAAGTCATGACATAAAAAGTAAACAAAAGCTCGTAAGCATAATTTTCACAGCTTATTTTAAACCACACAAGCTATCTTAACGTTTACTGAATTTACGTTGGAAATTAAAATAACCACAAAATGGTGAAACAATTTTCTTTTTGCATTTCATCGTGTGGTAATTTATGGGGGTCGTAAAAGGTTCGAAAGGATAGTACACCTTAATATTAATATACGTGCATGCATGTAAGTATATTTACATTAACGGCAATATATTATATTTATGGAAATTTACAAGAATTATTAGAAGTTAATATTTTTAGGAACAGTTAAAAGATTGCAGTCAATAATTTGTCAATTTAAACTGCAACGTTTTTATTAGTATGTTGGTATTATTAGTCTTTTTGCAATCCTACATGTTATATCCCAAAATCAACGTCAATACCTGGCGACACTCAACCTAGGTGCAGGCTTTTAGGTAAGGAGTAGCCTTTTTAGTTGAAGAACCATAAGTCAGTCCAACTTGTGAATGCCACAGACGACAGTAAACTTCGTACAAAATATATTGAACATTGCTTTTACAGAATAACAGCAATTGAATGTTTATTTTATTAAACTTATTTGCATTATGAATACACTAGTGGTCGACTGCGAATCCGTTCTCGCGGAATTAAAAATACTTTGTTAGGAGTCTAAGTGTTCTTCTAGATTGTGTTCTGCATTTATGTCAAATTTCAGCCACTGGAGATTCGTGCAAATAAACATCCATCTAAACTTTCACATTTATATTACTAAGATTATTTTTGGGTTGCTTTCATTGCCTTGTATAAAAACGTTAAAATAAATGACGATCGAAAATGGGTCGGCTGAAACCATTAAAGTGAAAACAAATAACATTTAATGTAATAAAACCCTTGCCCTATAGGGAACGAACGACGAAATAATTCTTTGGAATTGAAGGGTCGTTAAGAAAGTCATTAAAAGAAAACCGTAAATCTCATTCACAGTACTAACGCCTTCAATGGTGGTCTTCACTTAACAGCAATCACCAATATATCCATCCATCTCACTTTTATCTATGTAGACAAACAGAGACAAAACATAAAATTCAATAAATACTTAAACGGATATATAACGCGCATAACATTTATAGACTTGCTTTGAAGTATAATTATTATCTAGGGTTTTTTGAATGTAATGACTCTACATCATAATGAAGGGTTTTTAAAAGTTCGCAGCATAAAGTTTGACTTTTCAAAGGTTGGATACATTATCACTTAAATCTAACTTAACAAAGAACATTTTAGGATTCTGTCTAGTGCATTCTACAGTTAACTTGAAAATCAAAGTCCTTTTGAAGTAATAATTAAACATTTTAAAAGTTTTAAATGCTGTATAAAAGACGCAACTTCTTTTGTGATTTGTAGCGGGTAATAATTTGTACTCGGTGTTTAAGATTGTTTAATTGACTATGACAAAGAAAGAGATCTAACAATATTCTGTTCAATTAAAATATTAAAGCTACAAACAATTTTTATAGTTGTAAATTGGTAGGAATAAACGGAACACCATTATTCGCGAAACCTGAAAGGTCTTTATAGATACCGGATTTACAAAAGAAATTCAGGTACAATCACAAAAATGTTATTGGCTTGGCAGAATGATAAAAGTTAAAAAAAATGATTTTTCTTAACCGTTCTAAAACAAATAAGTATTAGAAACCAGTATAGTTTTGTAAGCAATTTTTTTTTTTGAAACTACACGCGAAGGTACTTTTTTGTTATATACTGCCTGGAATCCGCATTTCTATTGCAGGAAGAAAACCAGGTCATGAGAATAAGGATTTTCCGTTTTCTAATCTTAAAACCGCACCTGAAGAATAAAAGACGCTGAATACGAACACTAGCATTACAAAAGGTAGCCTAGCTACACAAATACGTGTGTAATTTTGAACCACATTAATAACAAGAAAAATATTACATGAAACAAGAAAAATTATAGCCCTTAAAAATCGATGTGATGTCGTAAAATTAACATTTTTTTTAGAAACCAAAGCACGTTCCGTCAACACTTCTCGGAATAAATGAAAATGAAAGAGACACAATAGTAAAGGTTACTGGATTTTGGTAGATAATGTTAATATTTGTGTTTCTAATACGAGCTTTCGCCCGCGAATCCGACCGCATGGGATTAAAAAAAAACAAAAGTGAATAGCTTGTGTGTTCTTTCCGGCTATCCTCTACATCTATGCCAAATTTCATCGAGATCGGTTAAACCGTTTAGTCTAAAAACTCTAAGCATTTAAATGCGAAAGTTTATATGGTTGGATGGATGTTTGTTAGAGTTTGTAGTCTAAACGGCTGAACGGATTTCTATGAAATTTGGTATAAATGTAGAGGATATTCTGGGAAAACACGTGGGATATTTACTTTGTTTTTTTTTTTTATTTCCACGCGGTCGACGTCGCGGGCGAAAGCTAAAGTATAATTTAACTAAGAAGTAAGATTGAGACACCTACTTTAGTATTGGACATTTTTTGAATGATGTAGATTCTTACCAACTGCACCCTTTCTGATTAAATATTCCATTATCACGTTTAAAACTATATCAAATCCGGTACAATCAACCTCGCCCCTTATATCACAATGGGATCAGTGTTAGTGCCGCTTAAATGTATGCCACTGATATCAGTTAGACAGGTCGTATCCGATCTAGAGGGCTTTCTCCGCAGACCTTAGGGTCAGTTAACTGATACCATATGTCAAGCGGTCAGATAAACCCGTTTCAATGATAAATGAATAGTTTTTTAAACGTATAAAACCGCAGCTGCTCTTATAAAGTGACACATTGTGATGTAAATTAGCATTTGGAAGTTGCAATAATCGTCCCATATATTAACCGAAATAGTTAGCGAAAACATGTAATTTTATTAACATTTAGGCATTTATAATTACTACAAAATAACATAAAATGTTTAATAATTCCATGTTATAACGTTCGTTATAAATGAAATCCATTTCGAAATATTCAATAAAATCATGGAAATCATTGCCAAGTTATTTGGTGGTTATTGCCTAATTAAACTGGGCATTTTCCCGCTGTATTCGATCGCGCTGATTTTAATTTAAGACCAATAAACGATTTTCGCCGCCAAAGTTATAATTAGGGAGGCAAATTTAATTAGCATGGATGGCGATAATTGAATATTAATTGCCAACAGACGCTCAATTGATTTTAAAATAAAATCTATCATAAATGTTAATTGTACTCATAGTATAACGGTTACTTAAGCAGTACAGAGCTGACGTGTAATATCTGTTCTTTTAGGACTTAATAAGCCCTAAAATAAAGTTGGTCCTAATCTTAGTAATCAGTATAAGTGCCTATAAATTCCATATCGATGGAATTAAATACGGAAATATCATTGTAACTTATTCGTATTGTTACAACCACAAGAAATACTATATTCCTATATGAACACCGACCTAGCCCTAGTTACAATCACAAGTTATTTTAAAGTGGAAAAATATACAACAATTGTTATCTATGCAAACGCAATACTATTATTGCGCTTAGGACGCTAGTTATGATTTGCCTCTCTGCATGCCCCGCTTATGCAAAGCAACATCCTACTTTTTTTAACAGAGATACTGGAGCTATTCTCAATGCTTAGGCTTTGTGCGGGAACTTACACAAATTTATTTGAGGTTAAATAGAATGATGTCACAGTAACAACGCGAGGTCATTTACTGTTGTACTAGCGGTTCGCTTCCGCCGAAATGTAAAGGCGGTAACACGATACAAAGTACCTTAGCTATGTTACCTTATTTTATGTATGAAGTCGACTACATCAATTACTTAATCTACGCTAAGATGTAAGTAGGTAGATACTAACGTAGGTTGACATTAAACAAAAAACAAACTATTGTCTCTAATTAAATCCACGTACCAAAGTCTATTACAAGTACCTACTAATAAAACTAAACAATACTTACTATTGCGCGAGATCTTTGTCGTCAAGTCCGGAAGGCGTCGCGAGGGTGTCCGCGTCGCCATCCCGCCCGCCAGGGTGTTCAGGAATTATTCGCTCGATTGTCGTCACTTCTTCAATATCTGAGTCGATCCCTTGCGCGAAATCCATGTAGAAGGACTCCCTCGAATCGCTCGAGCCCCGTCGCAACTTTAGCGACAGGTCAGGGGAACTGTCATCCATTTTTGTGACACTTACACGTACCCACACAATAAAATGCTACTTCATTATCTCACTATTTCATTTATCATTTCATTATTAGTGTTAACCCATTTTTGAATCCAGTGTTTACACCGTTCAAGTAATAAAACTCACGAAAGTATAATCTAAAAATGTAAAAAGTCACATCAACTAGAGCAACATTATAATCAAGTAATCCATTGAAAGAAATATTTACACTTGAAAAACAAAAAACGTAACTACGTAAAAAGAACAATGACCCCCGAAAACGATTCGTAACGTTTCCTAAAGCAACACCGTTTCCTGTTACATTAAGCCACGGATCGAGCTCACGAATACAAAGACAAATATGCACAATAAAAGGAATCAATTTATTAAACGATGCTCGTCTGTTACGGTCAAGTCCATCAGTCAAAGTTAATACCGCTTTGTAAAGCCTGAATTAATAGTAACCTATCTTGACAACAATAGTCAAAGTAGTCCGACAACTATTTTGGTCCTTCGAGGTCAGATTATCTAGTTACAAGCGTGTGCCATATTAAGAAACGTTGAATATTATTGAATGAAAAAGTACAATAGCGTGTGTAAAAACATTTATAAAAACTGAAGGCGGGTTTCGGCTTTCGTTCTACAATTAATTCCTTATTTTTAAATAGGGTAAGCCGTTGGATTAGCGTAAACCACATCCGTAAACATGATATCAATCGCCGGCGATCCCTAGGGAACAACAGCAGTGTACCGCAACAAACATAATAATGTACGCACTAGGCGATCCGAGGCGATTCCTATGCTACACGCGTACCGCTTCGTAGTACTATAGACACGAGCGACTCACACAACGACGTATGCACGTGTTCGGAGGGACGCGAGCGCGGCGCGGCGCCCTCTCGCGGCGGTGGTTAGCGCGCGAGTGTGGGCACTCCGTGTTCCGGGAGGCCGGGAGACCGGGGGAGGGGAACAACCCTCCCGGCCCGGGATCAATCACTCGCATACCCCGTATTGGACCACCGATATTTGAATAGGGTGGCATTGACATTGTACGGTTTTACTCTACAAATTCACTTCCTAGTTTGAGTGATGCTTTTAATTTTCATGACTATAGTTCATTCCACTATTTCTTTGAACAAGATTCCGTAAACCACTTATAGTAACAATTAATTAATTACCATTTGAACCCCCTGGATATCTTAACTAACCTTAAAATGAAGGTTGAATGAGGCTTTCTCAAAAACTGTATTTCTATTTTGCAGTTACTATTAGATCTATACATATTTATGAAAGCCTTAATAAAATTGTGATTACTATACTTTTACTATGCCAATGTAAAGTACACTGGAACCCATTTTCAAAGTATCCACAATAAACTATTCTCAGAAAATTTACTTGTATAATTTTTTACAACTTTACCTTATTTTAATAAATTATTTTATAAGTTTTGCAAGGATCAAACTATTCATTTTCTTCCTTACAAGCAATATTCTTATTAAAAAGGGTACATTCCTTGTACAAATCATCACCAGCTCACTATATGTTACCAAGGGGCTCGGAGCCTACCCTAATAAGGGGTAACTAGGCTATCGTCAACCACGCTGGCCCAGTGTGGGTTGGTTGACTTCACACATATCTTTGAATTTCTTCGCCGATATGTGCAGGTTGCATCACGATGTTTTCCTTCGCCGTAAGAACGTCGGGTAAATTATGTACGTATGAAAATTCGAAAAATCGAAAATCACATTGGTACATGGCGGGATTCAAACCCATGACCTGTAGATTACAAGTCAAGTGCTTAAACCACTGAGCCACCGACGCTCTTACAAATGTTAAGTAAATATTTTTGTTTGAGTTTTTAGCAGGATTATGAAATAAAACAATTTTTAATCTTACTCATTATAATAACATAGTTTTCAAATAGTAAACAGACTATTTTTATACTTATAATATATAATGATATCACAATACTTTTAAAAGTCTTAATTATTATTGAAAGATAAAAGAAATTAAGCAAAAATATTATTGTATTTATAAACGTGAAAAAATAAAGTGCTCTGGTCAAAGTATTAAAAATTATATTCCCAAACTCTCACTTCATTAAAACATTGAATACAATTAAAAAAAATACAAATTACTAACATTGTCAACATTACAGATTAGGATTTTAAAAGTGACAAAAATTGCTTTACAAATTTAATTATTTATAATGGCAATACATCATTAACACAAGACATTATTTTGAAGTGTATTCACAAATAATGCGTTTTATTATTTCTATATGTGAAATTGTAGTGTGTATGACAAATACATATATAAAATCTTGGTGGCATTTCAATCTATTTCTCTATTGCATCACTTTCTAATGTTTCCACAAGAATCAGTGACATATATTTCTACAGTACAATTTTATATTAAAAGTTAAACTCCTAATAACATAAGTGTCAACATATAAACATAAGCCACAATTTTCATGTTTAAATAAAAAATATTCAAAATAAAATAGTACATAAACTTTATTAAGGCAAATTTAAACATGTATATTCCACTTTCAAAGTACATATAGGACATTAACTGCAATCCAAAAATATTTTACAATTAAATGAAACATAACAGTGGCTTAAAACTGCATTAACTTGTATTGACATATTTTCATCTATACTTTTCATACAATAAAACATGAACACACACTTTGTTATGTAGGGTTTCAGCAATTACAGCATATTTTTTAATTACTCTTTTTTATAGAAACACCTACACTATCAAGATGCTATAGGTTATGTAGGGTAAGGAGGTTAAATATGTTTTCTTTTTAATTTTATTTTTAACCTGTACTTCAACCATGTGGGCTCAAGATTTGGAAGACTGTGCGCAGATCTATGCGTGGAATCCACAGCTATATAACTTCACGTTTTTTTAAATTAAGTGTATTAATTTGAAAAAAAAATAGACGTTGTTAAAAATGACAAAAACAACAAGCCAATAGAAGCAAAGAACCAAGAATGCCATAGTAACGATAATTATTAGCGAATGGCAAAGGCCTTCGATGTCGTTTAATTATTTGAATTTTGACATTTGCAATTGAAAATTATTCGCAATTTTACTATACAAATATTGTACTATACAAATAAAAATTTACATTTTCATAAAGTCAGCTGAAACCCACACTAATAAATGAACTCATAAAGATTCACAATTTAAATTTCAATACAAAATACAATGAAATAAACTTCAAAACATGACACTAACAGTCTGAATATTACGACACTTTTTGACGTTGCAAGAGTGCTAGTGAGCTGTAACAATTTGGTTTGATTTCTACAGGTCAAATATCCTTGTAGGTCTATAATTCTATAGTAATTAACATATATTTGACATCACACACTTTTTAGGTTATACGATAAATACTGATAGACATATGTAAGTTGTAGAGGGGACTATATTAAAGTTAAAAATTAATGAATTTTATGAGTAAATATTATGAGTAGGGAAATTCTATAGAAACTTGAATTTGTCTTTGATATTTAATCACTGGCACATACAGATCAAATTTAGTGCATCAAATACAACGCAACCAAGGTAAATACTTTCATACAAACATCTATTTGTCTTTTACAATACCAGTCAGAATATGTCCTTTAATTTACCGTTCAACTCGAAACACACAAATTAATTTCGCTACTCACTTTTTAGGACACTTTCACTGGCTAATAATTGCATAATTTTTCAACGACAAACCGGTGCACTTGTTTTAAAAACATTGCGTAGACTGGAATATTTCGTAACCGTCAAAATTCGAAAATCAAAACTTATATATTTTTGTCGAATTTTTAAATTTCAAACTACAACTAAAAGTGCTGTTTTAAATGGTGAATAAAATTTTTATAACTTTCAAAAAGCATTTTAAAGAGATTTTTTCAAATAAAATACAATTACAGCCGCATTTACAATTCATAAAAGGTCACAAAGCAGTCCCTTAGCGTAAATTTCACAATAAATCTACACTAAAAGGCTTCTTAGCGACCAATTAGAGATTACTGCTGTTAGGCAATTTAATCTTTAGGATATAGAATGCCTAACATTTCGTGGTATACATCTCTATAATTACAATTATCGATGATAACATGATTAAGATTTAAGCAACGCAAGACTTCCACGCAAGTCCACCGCAAGCCATAGCGCCTATCAGATATATCGCTAAACCAACGATAAGAATCAATATCACGTACATCTTGATATTCTTCCAGAACAAGGAACGCTGGAGGGTCCTAGCTGACGCACGATATGAGACCGACTGTAAAATAAACAAAGAATTACTTACTCATTACAATTACCATATCTATAGTGTTGAAGGATCAAACAGTTTGGAGATCTCGGAATCCTCTTATTCTGCCAACGAGGGGCAAGTGAGTCAAATCCCACATAACTTTGTCTTCCCAAGGAAGACAGGGTATCGTAGGCAAATTCAGAGATGTCAGGGATACCAAAAAAGATCAAATTGTTTCAAAATTTTAAATGGCAAAAAAATCTTCGAATATATATAAAATAATTCATTTAAAACAATGGCCACATAAAATCATCAAGAAATGAATATCAGCAAACTTTGCCTATATCTTTACATTAGTGTAGTGCTTCCTTAGGCTAAGTTAAGGTAGTTACACTCTTCAATGCCATTACTACGGACAAGATCATGGAAGTCGTATAAAATCCGTACGAGGGAATCCAATACAAAAAAAAATGAAAATTACAATGTATACAGTACTAGCGCTTAGTACTCGCGACATCGTCTGCATGAAATTAAAAAATGCCTATGTTACTCACTGATAACGTAGCATTTTCATGGTAAAATATTTTTTGAAATCGAGTTATTTCAATAACATACAAAAATAACCTTTTTTCTTTACATTAGTCTATACAATATTGGAAAAATATACTTTTACAACTATATACATTACATGTAAAAGTTACAGTATGAATTCTATATTTGGTTATTAACGTTTGAATTTAAATATTAATTGGAAACACTTTCCATAGTAACAGTTCGTAAAACTGCTATCAGAATTGTGGTTAGATTTAAATTTTACGTTTCCTATTTCCTAAATCGTACAGCATGACGTGACGAAAAAATTACTGTACTATTCCAGTAATACGTTAAATGACGACTGACTAAATTATTTTATCTACATCTATACTATTATAAAGAGAAAAGATTTTTGAATTTCAGCATGTTTTGAAATAAAAAAAAATCCTGGTTTGATTTCAAAAATTCTTGTACCATTTTAAAAAGCTGTTATCTCTGAGTAGCACAGGCTATGTTTTTCATTTTTTTTTTCAATTCACGGAGACAAAGTCGTAAGCAACGGCTAGTTCTTATATATCGCGTCTTCATTAACACTGTTTAAATAACTTAGTAAGTGGTCTATGTGTCCGTCTAGACTATGTTTTAGATCTGTGCCAAATTTCATAGAGATCCATTAAGCCATTTTGGAAATAAAAATATAATGAAGATGTAGACAACAGACAATTTCTTATACATTTTCCTATTTGAATATGCATGATTAAATACTCCATCAGAAAAAATGGCATGTGTTATCCTGTATCACAGGTTTTTTGTCAAATTTTCTTTGTTTCATATAGAAAAACTTATCTAACTTCTTTAATTTTATTCGTCTGGAGCAATATATTATTTAAACGAGTATACTTACATGTGTTGCCAGATTATCAGCTTTATTAACCAGTAATTCTAGTTTTTCGCCACGCATCGCCATGTTGTCTGTAACACAAAGGGCATTTATCTATACTATTAGATACTTATTATTTTTTAAAGTGTTAAGATTGAATGTGGATGGCTACAAAGGTAAAGGAATACCGAAGAAAGTATGGATGGATTGTGTGAAAGAGTATATGCTTAAGAAAGGAGTGGATTCAGATATGACGACTGCTAGAGATGTATGGAATAGCAAATACTGTGCCGACCCTCTGTAAGGGATGATGATTAGATACTAATTATATTAATAACTAGCTGTCCCCATACGGGTTCATCCGCATGAAATTATGAAAATTTTATTTTTCTCTTTACATTTGTCAAATTGTCAATAGCAAATGTCAAAATGACATAACATGGCATGACAAACTTAGCAATGTTTCTTTCTTGATGTTGGCAGCAACTTATGGTCTCTTTCCCACATTAGGGTTTTTATCCAAAATATTTACCCCCTAAGTTTAACGGCGTGAAAATATATAGCCTAAAGCGTGACGTAAGTGTAGGGCTTTTTACTAAAAAAAGAATTATTCAAAAATATAACTGCTGACATCTTAGGCAACAAGGAGGTGTGTGTTTACGCTTTATCATAATAGTATAGATTATAATAACTTAGTTAATTAATGTAACAGAATACACATAACACATTTACAATGACAGAAGAATTAAAAATACACACACGGAAAGAAAAGAAGAAACTAAAAGAAAGAGAAAGCAATCTAGGGGACCTGATACCCGCTTCTTAATATAAATATTTTTGTTTTATAAATAGAAATTATTTGTGATAAATAAATTCAATAAATGAAACTAAACTGAAAAAATATTCTCTGATAATTAAAAAGCTACTAATAAAAAAACAAGTAAAATGAGATTAGACAATATTTTAAATTGTTTAGGTAAAATCGGACAAATTTAAATAAACTTTAGAAAGTCAAACTAATTAATATTGTTTTGATAAAAATGTAACTGCAAAATTAATACCCATTACTAAAACAAGTTTGGTATTTTTGTACGAGTAAATAAACTTTACATAAAGTGATCATTAAAATGACACACAATGAAAGGTTTCTAGAAATTATAAAAATAAAGAAATAAAATTTAAGAAAAAGTTAATGAATCAGAAAAAACTATAATAAAATCTAAACAAAATTCGTTTGGAATTCACTATTTTCCTACAAGACGTATATTTGGACATTAAACATTTAAATATATTTAGATTAATACAGATTCAAACTTCTTTTTTTTTTCTTGTTTATCGATTAAGATTACAGACAAGATTTTTTCACTTAATACCATATTAACATAATACATATTGATTATACAGCCGTGAGATATAATGAGGAACAGAGGATGTTACTTCAAGGTCTTAACTGTATAGTTTCTCTTTGCAAGCTATTATGTATAATCTTTCTTATGCAAATTTTAATTATTTAATATACTTATTTACATTTTTGTTACATTATCACAAACCAGTCTTACATCTCCTAAAATGTATTATGAAGATAAGCGTAAGTAAAAACAAGTTAAGCATCTAAAATTCTATAGATAATTAATAAATTTATAGACTTTCAAACCAATCAGAATAGACAGGACATTTTTAGGTTTTTCATACAATAAAATCAAGATAATTACAGTAATACTAGCTTCTATCCATGACTCCAACCATGCGGAATTATAAAATTTCTTAGTAAGTAGTTTATGTGCCTTTTCATCCATACTATGGTCTACATCTTTGTTGAGATAATACCCAACATCCATCCATCAAAACTTTCACATTAACATTATCAGTATGAATTAGATTAAAGGAAATAATACTATTATATACTACTAAGGAAATAATATTGCAACTAGAATCAACTGTACTACCCTTTAATTTGTATTTATAAAAATTGTTTTCTTTTGTGTAAAAAGTTTATATAAATAAATAAAAACAAACACAAAAATGAAATATTTGTCTACATATTAAAGTGGCAAAAATACAAGGAAACAACAACTAGGGTGGATATAATCTGTACATCATTAATCATGTTGCATATTGACATACAAATGCTTTGTTTACTTGCAACAACCCAAACAATGTGATAACAGTCTGATAACAAACACATGTAAATAAAAATATCATTACAACCAGAACAAAGGCAAATTAAAATATTCCAATAATTTAATGTAATAATCTCTTTTGTCTACTCTGAGTGTTACATGGAATGTTCTTTGACAAGAAGCTTTTTAATTTATGATAGATTTTGTGGTTTTTGATACTCTTTGATTGTTATATAGAATAGGTTGCTATGGTTATGTTGGTTTAAGCCAGAACTTGAATTAATAAATATAATTAAGAAGTTATCAAGTCTTTAAAATTAGCAACAATTGTTATTATTTTACAATACACCAAGCAAATACTCTTCTAGTCCAATTTTTATTTTGCAAACAAGTAAAAACTACTTATATTTTAAATGGCTCCATTTTAAATGTAGCATAGATAATGCTATATTTAAGAATTAAGTGGAAATATATGAAAATTATCTGTAATACAAGTCATTAACTGATAAGTTAAACAGACAGTTAAAATATAGTTAACAGTTACAGCCTATCAAATAATCTTTAAGATATGTTGTTTACGGGTCAAGGTTAACAAGAAAAATGTTCTGTTTCTAAGGTTTTTTTAGACACAAAACTTAATAATCTATTTAACTAAGCTTGCAACTTTATCTGCATGGAATTAAAAAGCAGTAAAACATATGGCCTATGTTAATCAGTGATAGCATATTAAAAATAGTGAAAGAATTGTTAAAATCATCCCAGCAGTTTTCAATACATACAAAAATACAAATCATTTATCTTTATAACATATTAGTAGATAACCAAATTGTACAAAACCAAAAATAACTATTCCATTATGGTCATAATGGAGTTTTTTTTTTTATTTTAAAAATTACTACACTGCATGTTTTAGTGTAATTATTTGTGGCAACGATTTTGATAGACTATAAAATTACTTACCAATGTTTTTAACCATGATGTTCTTCAGTTCGTCAAGTTCACCGTGCACTCGAGATATAGTATCTAAATCTTTTGACTCGCTGTAATGTGTCATCTCAGTGGCCAGGACTCTTGAAAACTCCCCATTCATAGCATAGGGGATAGCTGTCTGTGCAGTATCCCCAAATGCTGAAGTAAATCTTCTTTTGATTTCATTTAGAAAAAGGAATGCTCTCGAACGTTGAAATTTCTAGAAGTTTAACAACATTAGTTTTTTTTTTTAATTATACTATTTAATCAAGAATACAGGATGTACAAGTACTTACGTCGTCAGTAATGCAGAAGTATACAAGTTTGTTTTCCGCAATGTAGTGGAATAAGTAATTCCCGTGTGAATAGGTAAGCTTGTCATCGCGAGGTGGAATCTTTGTTAGTATTTGTTCAGTGACTTCTGTAAAATTTCCAGCGCAAGTAGCATACTTAGCCAAGACAACTGTGCCCCGGGCAACTACGCTGAATAGAATCGGCATTTTGTTTATTTGCTTCAATAATCGCGGTATTGAGAGTATAAAGACAAACAAAACAATATATATTAGTCACTCTACAACGTATAATCACAACCAATTTTTTGCGTACTTATTTTCCTTTTCAATCACGAGAACTTATTTTTGTAAGATATTTTTTCTGGTCACGACCACAATAAGTAAAACTGGTAATTATCATTAACTGTATACAAATAAATTAATTATTTCAACATAAGCTGAAGTGAAGCTGAAGCACAAAATTATCTTGATATGACATGACGTGACATGAGTGAAAGAGAGTAGGGATGCATAGATTTAACGAACTAGTTGAATTGAATAATTTTCATACTTCAACGTTTCAACTGTTAACCGTTTTTCATTTAATTGCGTGAATTAATAGTTAATTTACACACAAATGACTCGTCGTTTTTTGTTTTCGCCACCAGTCTTTGCGTTATTTCTGTACTGAATATGCAATTAACTAGTCCTCTGCTTAGTTGAAAAAGTTAAATCTTTTCATTTTGTTGACTCCGAAATGAACATCCCTATTTACAAGCCAGTGTTGCTAGTACGGTACTGTTAAAAATGTTGCTAATTTAGAAAATCAAGATTTTCGTTGTTATAACATTTTTTTTTGTTTATAGGACTTTTACATCTACTTCATTTTTTTAAATGCTGATGTAACTTAGACAGTTTAAAAATTATTTTTTACTAGTTAGGTGCACTGATTGACTGCATTTATAATTATTTTAACAGACAATGGTACCTTTTGAATAAATAACATGATTTTTAAAACAAAATTCAATTTATTTTAATATTATTGTCAATATAAGAATCTGTCATAGAACTAGTTTAATAAATAAAACATGTATAAACAACGAAATATAAGAAAGCCCACATTTTTCTTAAACTTAAGTCTTTGGCAAATACACAAAATTATAAATAACTTAATCAAAATAGTCATCTATGTCAATATCAGGATTCAGGATATCATCACCAAATGGTGTCAAGTCTATTTGATCTAATATAAGATTTTCAACCATTTCTTCTAAATCAGTCTCACCAATTAATATAGCACCTTGTAACCTCCCATTTTTGAGAACAAATTTTATATACTCAAGATTGGGAGTTGTACGAAGTAATATTTCGTAATCATTTCCTAAGCCTTGACCATTGTATTTTCCTAACAATATTACTCTGTAACCAAAGAGAGTTGTACAATGAGTGAAAAGTTCAAAGCAAAAATCTTGTAAGATATTTTCATTAGTAATCTTGGCATGCATAGCTTTAGCTGCCATACCAGCCATCTGCCGAGCTTGAGTCCAAAGCCTTAACTGAAACCAATGTGGAGCATAATCCCAGGTAGCTGTTGCAACATCTCCAGCAGCAAACACATCTTCAATGGAAGTCTCCTGATATTCATTAACCGCTAATCCACCATCTTGTCCTCTTTTTGGTTCTTCATCCCAAGAAAAATTAACAGCCGGTTCAACCCCAGTTGCAGATACAACAAAATCACATTGAATCACATTTCCACTAGTTAGCTTTACTTCTAATGGATATTCTTTATTATTTACTTCTTGAAATGAATCAACTTCAACATTGTAAATAATTTCTAGTTCTTGTTCTGCACAATCACCAGTAAGGGTTTCAAGTTTACGGTACCAATCAGGTCCTAGAGCTGCTGATTTCAAATTCTTATTAATTGCTATCAATTTATCTTCCTCTGTAAATATGTGCCTCTTTAGGATTGAAGGAGCCTGTGGCCCATCAAGTGATTTTGTCTTCATAGTGTTTTGAAAAAATTCTGCAGCCCCAGGATCAATAAAGGTTTTTGAAATATAGTCATCTCTTATCACCCACACCTTTTGTATTCCATTAGTAGCATGAACTATTTCAGATGCAATACCTCCATTTCCGACTATCACCATTTTTTTACCGTTTTTAAGCTTTTCTTTGAAGTCATTTACAGAATCTGTATCTCTTATACCTATAATTCTGTCACATTTATTAGAATCTGATATTAAACGAGGTATACCTCCAGTACAAATACAGATTACTTTGTATTCAATAGTTACACCACTATCTGTAGTTGCTAGTTTTTCTTTTGTGTTCAGAGTTTTTAAAGAGTCATATATAATATTAAGATTGGGATGAATTCTTAACAATGAACTAGCTTCGGTTTCAGAAACATCAAACTTTACAATAGTTTTAGCGTAGAAACTTACATTGCTTACATTTTTAACTAACGAAGAAGCAGTAATCATTGCAAGACTCTCTTCGGGATGCAAAATAGCTAAAGTCTCCACGCATGTTACTCCGGCTATTCCGCCACCAACCACTAAATACGAAACTTTTATATCAGCCATAGGAAAAATTTCAAGATCACAATGAATTCCCACAATTTTAAATTAGTTAATATGTCGCAACTATTACTAAAAGTAAGTAGAAATAAGTTTGTTTTGTATTTATGTTTTAATTTTTGATGTGCTTGATTGACATTTGACACCTTGTTTTTGAGAGAGACTTGACATTGATAATGTCAAATACGATGGATGAGATGAACAAGATTTTTTATATTTATATTGAGACCATTTTATTATCCTGATTTAAATAGTACTACAGTTTTTGGTATAAAAATAAAACACTAGAAATATAAATTCTATGCATACTACATCATTAATTTTTAAAAAATATATGTCTCAAACGAAACAGAAAACTTTTCTATCTGTCAATGTCAATGTGACACAGTAAAACGAAACATCAATACTACCCCGATTGTACTCAATCCGTAAAGTAACAAAATGAAATGAAAAAATATAAAAACAATGTTGTTACCTAGTGCATCGTAAACTTTAAAAAGATCTAAAGTAAAAAAAAACATGGACGCTATCATTTTATCTACTTGTTAATAGCCAAAATAAGTACTTAGCTATCGAAAATATACATCCCATTTCATATTTTTAACGATGTTCAAATGGTTTTTATTCTCCACACTCCCTATTTCTATTTCAATATTTTGGTATTTTCCACTTTTATGGAGTATATCGTATTTGATCTTACTTAGTGTACTTATCGGAATTGGTATTTTTATGTTAACTTTTTGGGGCCATATTGCGTTATCCTCCCCTCACCAGGCTTCCCTGTTTTTATTAGAAAAGGCGGAAAAAGAAACGAGGTTTTTGGACGAGACAATCAGGGTTTGTACATGATACTACTTAACTATATTCAAATTAATCTGTATCTATTTTCTATTTATTATTTTTGCATACAGGAAGATCAAAAGTCATGGGTGTATGTAAGACGAAAATCTCACTTGGCTGTTATTTTCGGACGCACTGTAGATAGTCAATTGCAACTTTTAATAGACTATATGATAAGAGATTTTGTTGCTCGATGGTTGAAGGAGTTATCACACAAACCTGAGCCAGTTATTGATAAGTTCAAGGAGCATATGTGGGGTGCTGTTCAAACACTGTATGAAAGATTATTGAGAATAGATGCTGAGAAGTTATTAGCCAATGATATGGTAACTAAAGTAACACAACACTTTGAAAGAATAAGGATTGCTAGAAGTTGTGCGTGAGTATTTAAACCTGTAATATCCAGTAATTGTTTTCATATTAATCTTACTTATAAATTTATAGAACTAAAGCCTACTTATACTAATCTTTAAGTGGATTTTGCTTTTTATAAGCTAAATATAATTCAATTCCAGTTCTCTTACAGATTGTTTCAAAAGTAATATACTAATGGCCTGTCCCACCACTGGCTGATAGAGGCTCAGATAGCTTAAAATAACATCACTGTCAGATACATGAATGAAATTCTATATTTCTATCACATATTTTACATGTTCGATTGTCAATAAGGCCCTAAACATTGTTTTTTAATGTATAGTAATTTATTAATTAATTATTTGCAGTATAGAACTGAACCAACCTCCCGTATTTGCCCTGGCACCGCATTTGATGTCCTGTGAGATGGAATTGCATTACCTGCGTCAGATAAGCGAATTGATCATAATGTTCCTAATGCCTCGATGCTACTCCTTAACACCAGTATCACACCTTCTCAGAGAAATATTGGCTTGCAAAAGTATGTACAAGATCTTTTGTATTTAATTATTAGCTATTGATCATGACTTTGTCCCAGTGCAATTAAAAAATAATAAAATTATGCCCTATGTTACTCAGTCATAGCTTTTTAATGCTGTAAGAATTAGAGTCAGATTTTGAGTTATTTTAACACAAACAAAAATAAAAACCTTTCCTTTAAAAAGTCACATGATTTAATGTATTTCATGTTAGATTTGCAGTTTTGCATAAAAAATCCAAAATGAAAATTAAATACATTTTATGAATGACAAACATTAGTTTCTTTGTTTTATTAATAGTAGTGGTTTATTTGAATTTACTTTTTTTTTATGTTTCAGTTTTGCAACCAGCTATAAATCTAGTCACAGAGCCTGATTACATAAATCAGAAGATAATACAGTATTTGGAGGCACAGAAAGAAGTAGATGCAATGCATGTGAGGACACATGAGTATGCAAAAACATTTGAAGATTATATAAGACTTATAAACAGTTGCAATAATGTTGACACACTGAAACGGTTACGGTATGTAAACATATACATAACTCATTGCATGTAATTGCTATGTAATTAAATCCACCTGATTAAAAAAACCTTGCTGATAAGTACAGCCGCGGGAACCCGCAGTGCTCTAATTATAGAAAATTACGTTGTTTCTTGCAAAAAAACAAACTCCACCTCTTACAGACTAGCTGTTGCTCGCAACTATATCCGCGTGAAGTTAAAAATAATATAAATTATAGCCTATGTTACTGACAGATATATTACTTTTCTAATAGTGAAATATTTTTATAAAATCGGCCCAGTAGATTGTACGTGAATCAAATACATACAAAAATACAAATTCCTTTATAATATTAGTATATAGATAACCAATTTGATACCAGTGAGATGCGCAAACTACAGAATAATAAAAAGTAATTAGTTGAGTATTATTGATTAACGCTTTTTTGTACTCAATAATATAAAACTAACTTTATTATGGACCAGTCCCAGCGCCGCCTGATAGAGACTCAGAAAGCTTAAAAATTACGTCACTGTCAGATAAGGGAAAAATATTCGATATTTTAGATTGTTATCAGACAAGTTGGTGGGACAGACCCTTAGTCTACAAAATTATAATGAAATATAACCAATTTCATTTATTAAATTTGTTACAGTTACGATATTGTTACACAAATAATGCAAGCAACTACATTACAAAACATGAAACGTGCAAAAGGTATAGATGTCGATATAATTGAGAAAAGCAGCACACAGCACAATCTCAGCCGCCAACAACTTGCCGAAGCTAAGAATATCAAGAGATATATTAACCAACTGACTATAGCCAAAGTTGAATGTGAAAAAGCCTTGAAAAAACTTGGATGGGACGGTGCTTTCCCCGCTGTTGAATCTGATAGTAAGGTATGTGAATGTAACAAAATATTAACAAGGCAAAGGTGTGTCACGATCTTACCGAACTTGTAAATTACAGATATCGGCTATAATCTTGAATTATTGATATTTACAATTAAATGAAGTGACTCGCGTAATTTGTGTCGTTACTGTTGTAATATATTGCAATATTTAATCTAGAATGGCAAATTTTATGCCACTGTCCAGGTCATTATTCAAATACTAATCATAATTATTCAAATTTGACCATGATGTTATCCGCGGAATAAAAAACTTAATAAGATTATGTTCTACATCTGTGCCCTTCTTCGGATTAAATGGATAAGCCATTTTGGAGATAGTCACAAACATCTATCCATCTAAATTTTCTCAATTATAGCATGTACTAGCTGTTTTCGT